AGAAAGCAAAGAATTTCAGGTTGCGTTGAGTAGTGAGTACCATGCAGTTGCAAATTATGCTCCTCATAGAATACTCAGATGACAGAACAGGATATATGAGTTCAGATAACCAACTCGCATTGTATGTATTCCCATTGTCTTTGAAAACTTCTACTCTACTACTTTCCAAAACCTATCTAGCTAATTGATTGAGGATAGAATTGGTCTCGTAACATACACATGATATCCATTTATTCATTCACTAATAACTAATCGCAAGCCATCCTCAATGCACCGAGGCTATGAAAGGTTAGCATTGTGAGACCAGGAAACAAATACATACCTTTGATATGATAGATACATGATCTCGCACTGCTACCCTTCCTCCCATAGTCACATAATCTCCTATGCTGACACACACCAGAGTACCAAATTTGTAACTCAGAATAAATTCAAAAGACTCATCTAAAAATTTAATTCCAATACAAAATGAATTTAAACACAACAACAAAACCAAAGTGCAAAACAAAAATGAATGAAGATGACATACGTTGCTGAACCTGCAATCCCAACTTGTCCACAAAGCAAACAATTCTTCCCAATTACTACATTATGGCCAATCTGCAGAACCAATCAGAACAAAAGAGAAATTCTCGTTCTTTCAATTAATAATTAAGAAAAACCTAAATGTTAACCTGAACTAAATTATCTATCTTTGAATTGTCCCCAATAACTGTATCTCGCCAGCTGCATAAACAAAAGCAAGTGAGAAAAAATAAAAATAAAAGCAGAACACATTTGTCACATGATTAAGCAAAAAAATAAAATCGTTAAATCACTAACCTGCCTCTGTCAATGCATGTATTTGAACCAATTTCCACATTGTTCCCTATTATTACATTCAATGTCTGACAGATTTAGCAACAAAATGTCAAATTAATTATTATGTCTAGGTCAAACTAAGCAAGGTGAATGTTAGATATGTAAGAATATAGTTTTCGAAAGCCCTTGTCAATATACAGAATTTAAAATCAATCACAGTAAGACTGACATACAACCAACCTGAGGCTTTTTTATCATGTTACCGTCATCATCAACGTAAAATCCAAATCCTACAACTCAAATGCATCAATATCATCACATATAAACTGATCTTACAAAAGACATGTCCCACATTAAATTAGTTTACTTAAAATATGCAAGTACCGGCTATTCAAAATTAAGCATCATCCTAAGAAAAAGGTAAAATATCTTTGAACTAAATATATTATAATTGATTCACGCAATGAGGTAAGGTTCATACTAGGACTGTTATTCTTTCTTTAAGTATACAGACAAGGAGGTTAAGAAGTCCAGCTTTACCATCTTGACCAATGCAGACGCCGTTATGGACTACACATGAATCACCTATACAGCAATTACTAAGTGAGACATTATACCTGGAAAAGTATACAAGTATCAAAACCACATCAGATTTACAAATACAAGTTATTTTGCATCAGATATGACTAACATAACTGTGATTTAAAAANTCATCACATATAAACTGATCTTACAAAAGACATGTCCCACATTAAATTAGTTTACTTAAAATATGCAAGTACCGGCTATTCAAAATTAAGCATCATCCTCAGAAAAAGGTAAAATATCTTTGAACTAAATATATTATAATTGCTTCACGCAATGAGGTAAGGTTCATACTAGGACTGTTATTCTTTCTTTAAGTATACAGACAAGGAGGTTAAGAAGTCCAGCTTTACCATCTTGACCAATGCAGACGCCGTTATGGACTACACATGAATCACCTATACAGCAATTACTAAGTGAGACATTATACCTGGAAAAGTATACAAGTATCAAAACCACATCAGATTTACAAATACAAGTTATTTTGCATCAGATATGACTAACATAACTGTGATTTAAAAAACCATATAAACAACTGATTAGACGTAAGCACGGACATGAACCTAAATAAAGGAAGAAAATATCTTTCAAATTTGAGTTATAAATGTATAACCTTTACCAATCAATTCAAATCATTGACTTTCCAAGTCAGAACATAATGAAGCAGTGTACATTTAATGCATCAAAGCAACAATAGCATCATATTGGTACTGTTAAGAATCAACTTCTACCTTCTATAACACCATATCAAAATATGCTTCCATTGTATAGTATAAATCTACCAAGTAATAGCTAAACAAGCATCCAAGTCTATTACAAATTAAAGGACACAAGCAATATTAAAGAGAAGCAACCAAGCTAATAAAAAGTTTAAAGCGAAAATGAAACGATTATCAAATAATGATACCGATGGAACAAAAGTTGCATAGGTCTGTGACACAGAGAAAGGAACGTGTACCCTATCTTAGTTGAATGAGCAATGGTAACAGAAGGTCCAACAATAGTTCCAGAACCTATACGAACATTTGGGCCAACAACAGATTCTGAATGAACTACAGCGCCAACCTCTACAAGTGCTGTGGAGTCGATGCAAGCTGACTCGTGGAAAGTGCCACCACCATTATGCCATTTAAGAAATTTATCACCAAAAGAATCATCCTCTAATCTTGAAACACAAGACAACTGTAAAATATATTGAAAAGATGAAACAGAAAATATATTAAGAAATATATGTGATGATCATTCACCTGGAGAAGCAGAAAAACCGAGGAAAGCAAAAATACGTTGGAAGTTTATATTTCGATTGAGATTGAGAAAAAGGGGTTGAAGCGGAACAAGCAAAGGCAAATAACCTCCTTCCAGCCATAGTCATCGCATGATTCATTTGGCTTCGCACCTAGACAGCAACCAGAACAAGGGTTCGTTACAAGGTGGATGGAGCTCCGACCAATTTGGAGACTCAAATATGCGGGTGATCCGATCCGATCCGATCCGATCTCATGTTTAATCCATATTTGTTTTTATTCCATCTCATCTAGGATAGAGTCCTGCGTACTTTCTTATTATTTTAGATGTTAACTAAAAGTATTTAGAAAAAAATAAAAACCATAATAAAAAATACATGATATTATCACATATTTAATATTAGAATGATACACGTATAAATTTAAATATCAGGAAAAAAAAAACATTATGATTATATAAATTTTAAACTAAAATATCAAAGAACAACTAAATAAAAATTAAATAGTTATAAAAAAATAATAAAAAGTGTTCCTTAAAATTAAGTTATAAAAAACTGAAAGTAAAAAATTATAATAAACTTTTTAATTTAAAGAATAAATTAAATATGTTTTAATAATTTAAAAAAAAAACATGTACTAGTACTAAAATGAGTACAAAGACATCTTCATTCTTATACCCAACTCAAAATAAAATTTAAAATTGATAAATGGTTCATTAGTCAATAATTGAAAAGTTGAAAAATTTCTAAAATTTAAAATGGATGTAAGCTATACAAATTTAAATATTCTAAATATATAAGATACTTAATTATTTTACTCGTTTTAATAATTGTCACATGCAATGAACGCTAAAAGTTATTAGTTTTAGAATGAGTTGAATTTTGTATGTGATTATAATATTAATTCAAAATATTTGTTGACTTTAGTGGAGACTAACCTCTATTAAAGAAATTGATGAACCCGTAATTTTGAAATCTTGTTTTTCTTCAATAATGTTTGAATCTAAAACTCGAAAAGTACACATCTAATTCCATTCATACCAAAACCATGTTGGTTGATGAGTTCAGATTAAGTAAAAATTTTAAAACACAAAAAAATTATATTAGCATGAGTTGTTTTTAAAAATATATTATTTTGCATAAGTTAGAATTGGAAGGGATGATAACTTAATTATCTTGATTTTTTATTATGAAATTAAATTACTTATTTTTTAAAATTAAAAAAAAAGTATGACTGGCCTTCTCCTTTAAAAATAAGTAAAAAAGGTTACAACTAACAATGTTAAAATTATAATAGAGTAAGTTAAAATTAAATAAGACATATTTTTATATTCATTTGATATAAAAATAAAATGATGAATTTTTATATTTTATTGAAAAAAAGCAAAAAAATAACAAAAGATAATATCAAATAAATATAAAAAAGAAAGATTTTTATTTACATAAATTTTTTTTACCTTCGTTTAAATTATCCTTATTTATTTTCTATTCTTTTCTATTTTAAAAAAAGTACAAAATTTAATTTTTTAATAACTATTTTAATCTTGTATTGTGTTAGAAACTTATCCCCTCATATTAGTTTTTTTTCTTTTAATCTATCTATATAATATGTTGGCAGGAAAGAAACAAAGGAAACAAGTATGAACACTGTAGCAGCTGGTACTGTTCTATCAAATGCATTCGGCGACCACTCTGTTCTGGTGAACTATGTTCTCAAACCAATTACCAATTTGTTTTCCTCATCTCACTGTCAGTGCATCTTTTTCTGATCTATCATGTATGGAATCAAATGTTATTTAATTTAGTATAAGCGCGTCATTATCTGACAAATTGATTGAACCTTGTAAACCTAATTTTCAGGGTCAATAAAAAATAGTTCTTCAGATTTCATTTAGTCAACTCTGAAATTTGGATATTACTTAACGTTTTAAACTCAGAATATCTTAATTTCCTCACTGACGTAGAACAAATAAACTCTGAAGTGTTTTCCTGTAATTGTAAATTATATTTTGGTTGAAGTCCAACCTTGTACCATTGCCGATAGTTATTATTTGGTTTGACCAATTTCAATGAATCACCTTCTTAGGAGCTTCTGAGAAATTGTAACCTCTGTTACTGCATAGGTAATACTGGAAGTGCAAGTATTGAAATAGTACTGCCAACTTCTAAATTATCATCGCCAATCGGAAGGGAAAAATTCATTTTTTCTCTAATGCATTCCAAACCCATTCAATTGCTGCTTCTTTGCACTTTTGCTTTGTTTTCAGATGTTGTATTTGGCGATCCTCCGTATAATATTTGTTCTTCAAGCGGCAGCTATGTAAATGGCGGTTCCTTTGAAAACAATTTAAACAACCTGCTTTCATCTTTATCCTCCAATGCTTCAGACTCCAAATTCTATAATACTTCTTATGGGATTGCCTCTGACAGAGTTTATGGCCTCTACATGTGCCTCGACTATATTTCAAATGATAATTGCCAGAAATGCATCGCCACAGTTACAGAGGAAATTGTCAAACTGTGTCCTCAAGCAAAAGAAGCAATTGTGTGGGAAGAGTTGTGTCAGTTGCGTTATTCCAACATTAATTTCCTGGGTAGTTTGAATGTCACGGGAAACATTGGCTTAGATAATGTACAGAATCTTACAGAGCCAAAGAAGTTTGAGTCTGCTGTGAATGAGACACTAAGGAATCTTACTAAGGTAGCATCTTTTCATGTTTCGGCTAACATGTATGCTACTGGAGATGTCCCCTTTGGAGATCAAACAATATTTGCCTTAGTGCAGTGCACCAGAGATTTAGCTGCAAATGATTGTAATAGCTGCCTACAAAGTGCCATTGGAGATATACCAAGTTGTTGCTATGCCTCCATCGGGGCCAGAGTTCTGAGCCGTAGCTGTTATTTAAGGTATGAATTTTATGCATTTTATAATGGTGTCACAGGACCAACAGATTCTTCAAATGGCAAGAAAGAAAGCAAAAGTAAGCAATTCAAGTCACTCTCTGGTTTTAACATGTGGTCTTAAGCATATTATAAACTGCAACAATTAAAATCAGCATTGGGTTGATTCTTTATGCAGATAAGTCAAGCAAAACATGGATGATTGCTGGAATTGCAGTTATGGTAGGCTTGGTCATAGTATTTTTCATTTTCGGACTGTACCTTTTCAGGAATAAAAGACATCGGCATGGTAAGTTGCAATATGAAAGTATGTTAAGCTTGTGAACTCTTTCCTTTTAGCAACTTATTTGATTCTTGTCTTTAGGTAAAAATGAAATAGAAAATCATAACATCAATCTTGGATCTCTTCGAGTGGCTACCAATAATTTTTCTGATTTGAATAAGCTTGGACAAGGTGGCTTTGGCCCTGTTTACAAGGTAAATAGAATTCAAGGTTATACAAAGTTCATTCCTTCCTGCTTGAATATTAATTTTATCATAGGAAAGTTCAGACAGATCTTATTATATTGTTTGTTAGGGGAAACTTGGTGATGGCCAAGAAGTAGCAATCAAGAGGTTGTCAGCTTGCTCTGAACAAGGCTCAGAGGAATTCATAAACGAGGTTCTTCTGATAATGAAACTTCAACACAAAAATCTTGTAAAACTTCTTGGATTTTGTGTAGATGGAGAGGAGAAGCTTCTTGTGTATGAATTTTTACCCAATGGTAGTCTTGATGTCGTACTCTTTGGTAAGTATATTTTTTCAAAGCGACCAATTACAGTAGAGTAAATTAAACAAACAGAAAATAGGTTGATTGTAGCATTCATCTTACTGCATATTTTCATTTTTATTGGATGGTTGGAATATGGATAGATCCAATGCAACGTGCACAACTGGATTGGAGCAAACGCCTCAATATCATAAATGGAATAGCAAGAGGGATACTTTATCTTCACGAAGATTCTCGACTGAAAGTGATTCATAGAGACCTAAAAGCAAGTAATGTATTGTTGGACCATGACATGAATGCAAAGATCTCAGACTTTGGAATGGCAAGGATATTTTCAGGAAATGAAGGTGAAGCTAACACTGCTACAATAGTTGGCACATAGTAAGAAACCTTTTTCAGCATCAACGTTTCTCCTTTATAGGTATATTGACATCCTTAACAGTAGCTGTATTTCCAAATTGCAGTGGGTATATGGCTCCAGAGTATGCAATGGAGGGATTATATTCCATAAAATCTGATGTGTTTGGGTTTGGTGTACTATTGCTTGAGATCATTACAGGGAAACGTAACGCGGGTTTCTATCACTCTAAAAACACTCCTAGCCTTCTGTCATATGTATGTGACTGTGTCAGATTCTGAACTTACTAAACGTGTTGTGACCATTATTCATTGAATTACTTGTGAACTTTGCATTGCAGGCATGGAGTCTATGGAATGAAGGAAAGGGTATAGAACTAAGTGATTCCTTGTTGTGTGATTCATGCCCTGGAGATGAGTTTTTGAGATACATGCAGATTGGACTACTGTGTGTTCAAGAGGATGCATATGATAGACCAACCATGTCTTCTGTTGTGATGATGCTGAAGAATGAATCAGCTACGCTTGGTCATCCAGAAAAACCACCTTTCTCTGTAGGGAGATTCCATGCTAATGACTCAGATTCACAAGAATGCTCAGTCAATTTCTTAACCATGTCAGATATATTACCCCAGTAAAACCTCGTGTTTACTGTACTAATGGCTATGTATTACTTTTAGGAGTTTTTTTGCATGTAAAATACATACTTAATTAAGAAAAAGAGACCAGACTTTCCTACATACATAATTACGTGTAGTTTTGAGGAAAAGATTACTCCCATTGTAGATGTTCTGGGATAAAAACACCACATAAAACAGAAACAATTAATTGAAAATATTGATGATGAGGTATAAGAAAAAGAAGGATAGAAAGAAATGAAAACCAGTAAGAAGTGATATTATGATTTCTTAAAAAAAAGGAATTATTATTGTTGTAGTCATGATACATTTTTTATTTATTTTGTGCTTATCAGCCAAATTTCAAATTATTAATTCTTTGTCAAGTTATGAAATAGCATGCCATAAACATTACTTGGAACTTAGTTTATTAGAGTATAATTAACGATTAATAGTTAACAAATGACAGGTTGAAAGAGGAGTCAGTTAAACGACATGTTGTCATTTTCCAAACTTATGAATATCGTGTTAATTCATAGAAGAGTTGGTCAGACTACAGAGTTTTTCTAACAAAAATTCCACAATGGCTTGCTAGGAAAATAAGCAGCAGGGCTGTATGCAAGTTATGTAAATTTCTCCAAATCCGATTATTAAAAAAAATTGACTTTTGCTATCCATTAAATGAAGGAATCAAAAGTAAAAGGTTTTCTTTAAAAAAACATATAATACTAACATTTTATAAATATTTAAAATAGACTCATTAATAGCTCTTAAGGAGAACAATTAAAAAATATTTGATAATTACTTTTACATATCATAGAAAGTAAAGTTATTAATTTTTCAATTAAAAAAATAATCCATTAAATAATTTTGTTTAACTTTTTATTTTAAGTAAAATTATGTGTAATTTTTACTTCTAACGCTGATTTTTGGACAGTAAAATGTTTCATTAAAGTAGAATTCCCTTTAGAATTTTATGTTAAAAATGTAATCGTTAACAGCTAAGGAGCATTGTGCTTGTGTTTTTCGTTTTACTTTAAATTTTCATGTACAGTTAAATGTATTGCATCATTAGGTTTCCTAACTGGCAGAAAAAATCCTAATATATTTCGAATATTATTAATACTTTTTTTTAGAAAACGCACACTCAGACAATTATGTGTATTTATAGGTCTATTTTTAATAAATAATATAATCATTTTCTGATAACTTTTTTAAAAAGGATATTTCATTAAAAAAATATCATTATTGTTCTAAATTTAAGTTGAAACATACGTAGGACAAACTTAACAGAGAGATTGAATTTGAAGTTCGAAATTGGAGAGGCCATTTGAAAACATCATTAGCAAGATATTAACGGTAACAGATGTTTAGACACAATTATGAATAATTAAGTATATATATTAAAAAAGCAACAATTGTTTTTAAGTAGGCTCAGTCATTCTAATTAGTGGTGCTAACTAGCAGATTTATATAAGCATTAAAACAAATACCAATTTCAATTTTAATACATCAAATAGGATTCCAGGCAAAGGTTTACGAAATGTTCCTAACGATGGATTATGCCGTCCCTTGACTGTGACTGAAACGAAAGCATTAAATGTAAATTATTGACCATTTTATTAAATTAAATGAGAGAGGAAAAAAAGACTAACACAAGTAATTAAGAAAAAACATGGCATCATGAGGATGTGAAACTAATAATTAATACCGTTTACCAGTTTTGTGCTGAACCAAGCACCTTGTTGCTCCAGCCATTTTATGCTATCAATAGTTCATAAAACCATCATTATTATATTATCATAACAACTTTCATTCATTTCCCATTTTGCAACCAAAAATTCTAACCCTTTGGTGTGAATCTACATCGATCTTAACCAAGCTGCTGTTAACATGTTTGAGTGTCGTCTTCTGTCCAAAAGGTTATCCATGATGAACATGGTCAAACATAGACCTTCAGCTGTCCTTTTGTTCTTGTTCATCGTATTTATGTTTATGTCGTCTCTCAATCGCGTTTCTGGAGAAGACCCTGTTGATATTTACTGTCCCAGTGAATTCCCACTGTACAACCTCAATAGTTCATTCCATCACAACCTCAACCTTGTTCTGGGGTTGCTTTCCTCCGACACCGCTTCAAAGGCTGGTTTCTATAACACTTTTATAGGAGAAGAGACAAACAAAGTGTACGGACAGTCACTGTGCAGAGGGGACATCGGCAACTACACAGTTTGCAAAGAATGCATTGAGAAAGCAAGCCAAGATATCATCAATAGGTGCAGGAGTGAAAATGCAATGATATGGTATAACCTTTGCCAAGTACGCTACTCCTTTCAGAGCTTTGATGTGGTGGCTTACACCGGAAAGTACCCCAAGCAGAATGATGAGGAGAAGAATGTTTCTGATCCTATTCGATTTAGGGAATACTTGACTTTTCTAATGAAGAATCTCTCGAACGAGGCTGCTTTCAATCCTGTCAAGAACATGTTTGCGGCAGGTGAAATTGACTATCCTGGGAAGAAGACAATTTATGGGTTGGTCCAATGTACGAGGGACATGTCCCACGACGGCTGTAGCACTTGTTTGAGTAACGCCTTCACAGAAATCACTGCATGCTGCTCCTACAGAGAAGGTGGGATTATTCTTAGTCGTACTTGCAATATGAGGTTCCAAATGTCTCAGTTCTTCAATGCTTCTTCTGCGTATATGTTGGTTTACCCAACTTCCTCAGGTATGGTTTTTGAATCTGACGAAAAATACGTGCCCACTGCACTGAAAATTGTTCAATTCTGGTACTCACTTTCGTTGCTTTGCTTACGCAATTTCAAAATTCCATCTTTTTCTTTTGGATAGAGTCCGGTGATTAATTCTTATTCAAGTTCAATCTAAACATATTTCTGCTATTCCTATTTGTTTATTCATGTTTGCTAGAGGATAATTTTGAAAAACATAGTTGGATTATTTATTCCGTTTTTTAGTTTATAAATAAAAAAAAATGGTTATTATCACTGGTGATGTGACATTTCACATATCTTCAAATGCATGAGTTACTTTTGGAGTACATATACCTGGAAAGCGAAGTAATACCGCAGTCATCCTCCATACACTGAGAGTCATATTTCTTACTAGATAATCTTCTGTTCTCACAGTTATTTCACTTTTATTTTGTGGCCGTTCTTTAGAGTTTTTAGAAAAATAAATACAATTTATGAAAGTGAAAACTAGTAAGTTTTTTCAAGATTAAAATTTAAGTTAATTATAATTGTTGGACGGCATGAATAGGAGTTTAGATTGTTGTATCGTGTTGAATTCATCTGTGAAAAAGGTATTGACAAAAGGATGTTTTTTTTTTTTACAATTTACAAGGAGGGAAACGGAAGACCTGGATTCTTGTGCTGATTATATCTGGGTCGATTTTTGTATTAGCACTTGTTGTTGGGTTGGGCATTGCATGCTTACGAGGAAAGAAAAATAGAGACAGAGGTAACTTCTACAGTGCAATTTGTTAAGTATCATAAAACCATTTAAGAATCAGCTTCAACTTTCTTTGCTTCGTTTTCATTTGTGAATCGTGACTTCGAATGAAACAGATGAAGAAATGAGTGAACGAACGCTATTACAAGAGTTGACTACCCCTAAGCATGTGGCAGTCACAGAAGAAGGTGATTTGATTAGTTCCGAAGAACTGTTGTTCATGACTTTAGCTTCAATCAGGGTTGCTACTGATGACTTTTCAGATACAAATAAGCTGGGACAAGGAGGGTTTGGTGCAGTGTACAAGGTCACGTATATAAACCACTAAAAGCTCTATTTGTGGGGCATGCATGGTTGATATATAGTCCTCTCGCTGTGTTTGATTTTGGAATCTACATTGCAGGGTGTTCTGGCAGATGGTAATGAAATAGCAGTCAAAAGATTGTCGAGGAAATCTTGGCAAGGCATAGAAGAATTTAAAAATGAAGTTGTGTTGATTGCCAAACTTCAACACAAGAATTTGGTGAGGCTGTTAGGTTGTGCCTTGGAGGGAGAAGAAAAGTTACTGATATATGAATTCATGTCAAACAAAAGCCTTGATCAACTTATATTTGGTTTGTTCTTTTGCTCACCTTTAGATTCTTAAACCTTCTGCATGTGTAGCTGATTGGTATTTCGTCACAGTAGAAAACATCTGACTGACTCATGTTCTTTATTATGAAGATCCAGAAAAACGTTCAAAGCTTGATTGGAAGACATACAATGGTATTATCGATGGCATAGCGAGAGGACTGCTTTATCTCCACGAGGAGTCTCGCCTTAAAATCATTCACAGAGACTTAAAACCCAACAATGTGTTGTTAGACCACGAACTGTTGGCTAAAATATCAGATTTTGGTATGGCCAGGATATTTTCTGAGAATCAGAATGCAGCAAACACCAAAAGAGTTGTGGGAACATAGTAAGCCAATTTCATATATGCACCCATCTATATTTCTTTTAATATTTTACAAACTTGATTAAATCGCCGCTACTTTAATTGTAAAATTTTAGTTGGGCATTTAAGATTGTAAAAAAAATGGTACCAAATTTATGAAAAGTTATAACATTTATCAAATTCCCAAAATCGTGATATTAAAAATGGTACAAAAATCTATATTTTATTGAAGATTGTTTTCCTTGAACTGAACTATGAACCCATGCGCGATGTTGATGTTCAAACGATAGTGGATATATGGCTCCAGAGTATGCAATGGAAGGATTGTTCAGTGTGAAATCCGATGTGTTCAGCTTTGGCGTTATCTTGCTTGAAATCATCAGCGGAAAAAGAAACAGTGGTTTTTACCAAACCGAACTTGCCCCGACACTGCTGGCATATGTAAGTGAAACACTTTCGTCGTAACATAACATATATTAATGATTGAAACAAATGATGTAGTTCTGTTTTGTTTAACTGTAACTTTGGCAGGCATGGCGAGTGTGGAATGAAGGAAAAGCATTGGACTTTGTGGATCCAGTGGTGTTGGAATCATGCCTTGCATCTGAAGTTGTAAGATGCATGCACATTGGGCTTCTGTGCGTGCAGGAAAATCCGGAACACAGGCCCACCATGTCAGCTGTGATGCTTCTCCTGGGAAGTGAATCAATGGTCCTTCCCCAACCAAAACAACCTGCTTTTTCTTTGAGTAGGGTGCTTCGTCTCGATCCATCTACAAAAACCAATCCTTCAGGAAATGAGATTATATTTTCTGATATTTTACCACGATGATGGGGAAGACTTGGTCTACTTGTCATGTTTCATGTTCTAATGCTTAACGAAAACAACAGTATTCTTGACCTATGGACAAATGTTCCTTTCATGGCTGTCCCCACCCAACCCATCCTCGCAGAGACTTTGGGTCATCGCTCATAATCACACTAAATGAAACAAATAAATAATAAATATCTTGCTTGACTTGCTTCATTGACTTCACACCTGCTTCTTTATTAACATCCATATTTCTAATATATGCATTATTTTAATGTCACTTTTACATTATAAAGCTTATTCTCACACGCTGTGTTATTTTTTCATAACAAAATATGTGCAAAATAAATGATAAATAGGACAAGAAAGAAGATGACGAAAAAAGGAAAATAAAGCTTTTGAAAGAATGTTATATTATAGTTAATAGGAGAACAAAATGGCAAGAATGCAACACTGAAGTTATTTAATACATTTAATTAATTCATCAGTATCAAAGCTAAACCTATGAAACAGAGAACTAATCCTTTCAACAAAAGTAATTAATGATTGGAGGAAGACGAAATTATTATGGACAGGTTCCAAATATTTAACAGTATTACAAGTCAAGGACGTGTATTTCCAGTGAAAAGGAAGCAAAAGTATCTGCGAAAAGTCAAGGAGACTCCAGTCACTACTAAATAAGAGAAGCAACAGAAACAGCAAAAGGAATGCGTATGTGAGTGGTAAGAGAGAGATGTTTACGCACGTATCCATGGCTTCGCTCAAGCTTGTGCTGCTGTTGTTCATTCTCAGCTTCCTCAACTTGAACACTTGCAAAGCACAGGACCAACAGAGCACCGACCCTGTCTATCTGTACCATAACTGTTCAGGCGGCAACACCACCGCCAACAGTGCCTACCAACTAAACGTCGGCACCCTCTTCAGTTCCCTATCTTCAAAATCCATAGAATTCTCAAACGACACCGTCGGAACATCCTCCTCCGACAGGGTGTACGGACTGTTCATGTGCAGAGGAGACGTGCCCACAGCGCTGTGTCAACAGTGCGTGTTGAACGCAACGCGACGTCTCCGCTCAGAGTGCTCTCTGGCCAAACAGGCCGTGATATGGTACGACGAGTGCACTGTTCGCTACTCCAACCGCTCTTTCTTCTCCACGGTGGCCGTTCGGCCACGTGTCGGACTCCTCAACTCTGCCAACATATCCAACCAAGAAGCCTTCATGAAACTGCTTTTCTCAACCATAAACACAACCGCGGATGAGGCTGCCAATTTTTCCGTGGGATTGAAGAAATACGCGACCAATCAGGCCAACATTTCTGGGTTTCAGTCACTATACTGTTTGGCTCAGTGCACACCCGATCTGTCCCCGCAAGACTGCAGAAGTTGTCTCAGTGGTGTGATTGGAGACCTTCCTCGGTGCTGTCAGGGAAAGCAGGGAGGAAGGGTTCTCTATCCTAGCTGCAACGTTAGGTACGAACTCTACCCTTTCTACCGCCAAGTCGCACCCGCGCCTCCACCCTCATCGCCCCTACTTCCGCCTCCAGCTTCCGCTAATTCCCAAGGTATAATCTTCACACTTCAATTCAAACACACGGTCTCTCCACTGCTATGTCTATTGATACTGTTCTTCTGTGATCAAAATTGAATTTTTATAACAAAAACATATATTAAGGATTACACTGCTCATCCAGCTAAAATTTATATCCCGAGGAGGAGAGAGAAGAACATAAGTAACTGTATTAAGTTTGTATTGAATTAAATGTAATTTCTTTCGTGGCATTTGTTTTGATGTTTTGGATTGGGTTGGATGCAGGAGGCGGTGGGATCTCAACTGGGACCATTGTTGCGATTGTGGTTCCAATTACGGTAGCCGTGCTTCTGTTTATAGTGGGAATTTGTTTCTTGAGTAGAAGAGCTAGAAAGAAGCAGGGTTCTCTAAAGGAAGGAAAAAGTAAGGATGCACCGGAAAGATCCTCGTTTTTTCCCTTTTTGAATGAATGATTTTATCTTAAACGTTTGTTTTGGGTTTCTAGATGTAGATGACATCACCACTGTGGAATCCTTGCAATTCAGTTTTGGCACGATTTCAGCGGCCACAAACAATTTCTCTGCGGAAAATAAGCTGGGGGAGGGTGGATTTGGTGAGGTTTTCAAGGTAAGATTCTAGCGTGCTTTTTTTGTTTCTGTGAAAGAAGCAAATGAGATCCATTCTAGGATGTGTGATTCAGTTATGTTTGGAAAAATTCAGGGTGCTCTTCCGACTGGACAAGAAATAGCTGTCAAAAGACTCTCCAAAAGTTCTGGGCAAGGTGGAGAAGAATTTAAGAATGAAGTGGTGGTAGTTGCCAAGCTCCAACATAGAAATTTAGTGAGGCTTCTTGGGTTTTGCTTGCAAGGAGAAGAGAAGATACTTGTTTATGAATATGTTCCCAACAAAAGTCTCGACTACACTCTCTTCGGTAGGATCAGACAATCCTTCTGAACTATGTTATATTTTATATGCTTGCTTTTTTTTCTCTTCTTGTTTTTGCCTTTTTGGCATCTTCTGGATATGCTTAATAGGCGACCACAATAAATAAAACTGTGCATAAAAACTTAATATATTATATGCTTCAAGTATTCAAAGTGTTGCAATGTTGCTTCTAGATTACTTCACTGTTATTTGACACTCTTCCTGCGACTTGAATGTTTTGTCCAATTTGTAGACCCTGAAAAGCAAAGGGAGTTGGATTGGAGGAGACGTTACAAGATTATTGAAGGGACTGCTCGAGGCATTCAATATCTTCATGAAGATTCTAGGCTTAGAATTATACATCGAGATCTTAAAGCAAGTAACATATTGTTAGATAGTGATTTGAGTCCAAAGATCTCAGATTTTGGCATGGCAAGAATATTTGGAGTTGATCAAACTCAAGGAAACACAGACAGAATTGTAGGAACCTAGTAAGTACAGTTTTCTATCTTCCTCAGAGCACCTTTATTTGTGGAAGCACAGTTTTCTAATTCTAACATATCGATCAAAATCATTTCAAATGTCTTGTAGTTTCAAACAAACATACAAAATCTAAACCCAGTTTGCATTACTGTGCCAGATTTCTGTCTTTTGTTTCCTGTGCTGACGGTTGTGTTGATTATTCAATCCGTGTTTTATTTATACAGTGGATATATGGCTCCAGAATATGCAATGCATGGAGAGTTCTCTGTTAAGTCTGACGTGTACAGTTTTGGAGTCCTCCTTATGGAGATTATAAGCGGCAAGAAGAATAGTTCTTTCTATCAAACAGATGGTGCTGAGGATCTATTGAGCTATGTAAGTAGAGCAGATATTTAGCTTCCTTGAGCTAATTGATACAAGTGTATTCTAGTGAAAAGGGAAAATATGTGGTGCTCACATCACACTGAGAACTACTTGATGTAACTTTTTGCAGGCGTGGCTACTTTGGAAGGATGGAACACCTTTGGAACTGATGGACCCCATATTAAGAGAATCCTACAATCAGAATGAAATCATCAGAACCATCCATATTGGTCTGCTGTGTGTCCAAGAAGATCCCGAAGACAGACCTACAATGGCAACAATAGTTCTTATGCTAGATAGTAGCACTGTTACTCTACCAACTCCTAAGCGGCCTGCATTTTTCATCCACAGTGGAACTGATACATACATGCCAAAAGGGCAGCAATTTGATCAGTCTATAACAAAATCATTACCAGTTTCTATCAATGAAGTTTCCATTAGCGAAATGGATCCTAGATAAGCTTGATTGCTTGGAGATTTTAGGCTGTATCAATTACCCATCACCTACTTATTTGTCGTAGTTTCGCATGACTAGATTTGGAAATCTTGGAACACTATGTATTGTATTCTAGTTGCTTATTTTTCAGCTCGAAGTAATATATGCAGGAAGGCTATTTTGTTTTCTCAGAAAAATATGAAACTTACATTTGGTGGCAGGATTCGTGAAATGTATCAAGCACAGTATAGTAAAGACTGATAGAGTTGCTATTTTGTTCAACATCTACAATTTTGAATCAACAAACTTATCTCGTATTTAAACAATGTTAATTAGCATCCAAAATATGTGGCTCTGCAAGTTCAAGTGTCTATGTGCAATAGAAAGAATTTTGCAACTTGTATTGATTTATGTTTTCTGGTTCTTGAATCTTTAAGGATTTGAAAATTATGCGTAATGTGCCCAGCCTAAAGAAACAAACATGCAGAAGGGGTTGAAGCCTACCTAGGATGAGGTGAAAAAGAACTTTCCATTTGGTGATAATACAACACAGAAATGGTACATTTGGGCCATCAAAATTGACTGAAACGTCAACCAAGAAAGATATTTATTTAGAATTGGGAGAAAAAGAAAGTCACAGCACAACCAAGTGCCAGTCTTCTTTCGCCATCCTTCTTAATCATCATTTTCCACTAAACCAACGTCTCGCACTCATATCTGCCTCAGGAATATTTTAACCACCTATTATTAAGAAATTAAATGATTGGAAGTAGCCATAGGCTTGGAATACCATACTTCTGAATGTCCTTTATGGCCACGCCAATCCTTTCCTTTCTTATTCTAGAGTCTCATCTCCCTCTTATGCCTATTTCAAACCATTTAATGAGATTATTGATTACTCAACTCATTAAATTTATGGCTCAATTAGTAACATCATTTAATTAGTAACATTATTTATGTATTTAGTTATATATAGTATGATCGAGAGGTCTTCATATTGATCAGACGATCAATGTTTTCATTATTGTTTACCGGACACATGGGACAATCTTGATTAAAGAGTGGGTAAGGATTAGTCAAATACATGTTAATTGATCATGTTACAAATTAAACATGTTTATAAATAAAGTATATTTATTTGCTTTTGAACTGTGATTAAATCTTAATAAAAAGTTAATTTAAAAATCTATAAATTCAAGTTAAAGTAAGAAAATAAATAATCACCGTAAATTTAATTTATTTACGTTAAATTAGTTTATCATTTTAACTGTATTTGAAATGTATTTGAAATATATCATGTGTCAAAATCATAAAACGAAATATTATGTATCAAAATTTGAAAGATATTACGTATCAATAAAGAAGAATCTCATAATAAAAAATAAAACAAAATTAGATTTCTTCCATAACAAAAGTTTGTACATGTCTTTTTATTTATAATCATAAAATCCTCACAGAATTAATATTATCTTTCATTTACTTAACATATGTATATTATTGTGAAGAAAAATCGCATAATCCACTAAGTTATAGCTGCAATTAATTATGTGTCCACGTTCAATTTAAAACATGGTTATAATTGATCATCTGTTTTTTATGGACTCGTTGGATTAGTAATAACAAGTGAAAAATAATAATAATAAACAAATTAATGATAATAATGACAGTTAAAATGAATTCATAAAATAATAAATTTAATAATAAAAAAATCATAAACAATAATAATAACAATATAATCTTAAAGATAACAATAATAATGATCAATTAAAATAATAATAATATATAAAAAAAGTTTCAAATCATAAACTAATAATAATAATAATAATAATAATAATAATAATAATAATATACTTATAGTCTACTACTTAATATAAATTTATTTATATCAAAAACAATAATTTGATTATATGAAAAAGATTAATTAATGATGTCGACTAATGAAACTAAACATTTGTGTGTGGGACTACAACATGAAGGAATGGCTCATGAACAAATTTGTTCTTTGTTCATCTTTGTTCTTCTTCTTATAGTCAATGGTTACAAAACTTTTTTTCTTTATCGTTATTTTTATGTAAAAAAACATAAAAGTATTTACTCAACTCTATACTAATACCCAATTTTAAAAATAAGATATTATTTATATTTATTATTGTATTATATATCTTATAACACATAAATTTATATTGAAAATAAAGTATAGGCTGATAAAAAAAATTTAAAAAGCATTGATACAATCTCATAAATATTGATTCTTTTTAATTTAAGTAATTAAATTAAATTAGAGTATTGTTGAGTACTGTGAATTTATCCTTTTAGTATACACATTTATTTTTCAATTTTATCTTTTAATAAGTAATGTTTTTTAAATTAAAATAAATTAAACTAAAATAATTCTCTATAATACAAAAAATTATGGTTTAATTTGGGAAGAAAGCAGTTGGAGTGAAGAAAAGCCTCTGCAAGCTATATATGGCTATAGTCTTCTCCTGAGTTAACAACTAAACTCGTTACTTACTTCCATTGCATTGCTTCTCATTCAGGTGATGTTCCTTCTTACCTTTTATCTTCCTTTATGGAACAAGCTTTTGCCTTTTCTCTATTCAAACTTTCTTTTTTCTCACTCATAGAATGAAGGAATTCTGTTCATATCTATCAAGATTTATTTTGTTCTGTTCTTTCAAATTTTCTGTTGGTTGTGTTTTTTTTCTTTCTTTCTTTAGGGTTTGCTCTAAAACCCCCCACACAGCACTCATCGCCCTTCCACTTTTCTCTTAAATTGTTCTTTTTTTAATTGGGTTTTCTTTGGGGGAGCATTTGTTTCTGCTGGAGAACCATCCGGCGATAATCTGGTATTGTTTTCTTTTGTTTAGAGTTGAGTTAGTATTGACTGTGTTTATAATTATTCTAAATGATTCTGATCAGCTTTTGTTGAAATTGAAATTTTCTTTTGACACGGGTTATGGGTTTTTGCCTGAAATGTTTGTTCTTTAGTTATTTATTCCATCTCCCACCCTCCTTCCCCCACTATTGTATGCTATCTGTGTTAAGATGTTCGTGAATGGTGGATAAATGTTGTTTCCAAGTTGATGTTAAATGGTTTATCTTTCTTTTTTTCATTTCTTGGAACTCTGGAGCTTTCTTTTTAAATACGTGGCCATTGATTTGATACATGAATTTCTGGTTATTAGTGTATCTTTACATTACTGATAATTGTTCACGTAGTTCTTTAATTATGTTTTTCCAATTGAAAGCAGGGAGTCTGGCCTAGCCATTCGGATCAGTTACTATTAGGAGTTTCTGTGTAAGTTAAGCATGATTAAGCGGTGGCCAAGTAGGAACAACAGAACCAGAGGCATCAAGGTAAAGCATATTCTGCAGATTATTCTGTTGTTGGGCGTTTGCTTCTGGTTGATCTATCAGGTTAAGCACTCTCGTGATAAGAAAAATGAATATGATGAAAATGATAAAGAAGTGTCAGTTGGAACTAAGACTGTGTATCGGACTCCGAAACTTGGTAGAAAAGATCTTCATCCGGGTAAGGATGAAGATAAGCATGAACACAATGAACGTGAAGAAGAAGAAAATGAGCATGAATTTGAAGAAAATGATGACAAGTTTGGAGTGAGAGTAGATGAGGAAGAGGAAGATGAAAGCAGAACCGATGAGATGGAAGATGAAAGGGGTGGAGGAGATGATGAGATAGATGAGACTGATCAAGAGCAATCAGCAGCCGATACTGATCGTGATGAAGATCTGCCCGACGATGAGGAAGAAAAGGAAGAGGAGAGTGATGAGAAAGAAAACCACAGTAAGGAGGAGGAAAGGGATGGTTCAGTTGAAAAGCACAATAGTCATGAAGCTCGGGAGCAACATTACAAGGGGGATGATGCTTCTAGTGCTGTGACTCACGATACTACTACAACTAGCACTGAAACTGTGTCACTTTTAGAAAACCCTGATGTAAACTCAGATTTTAATAATAAAGAAGCTGAATTGGCGAGTGAGCAGTCTTTCAATGCGAGCTTGTCCAACACTGTGTATAGCTCACATCTACACAATGTTACCACGACATTTTTGGACAGTCATTCAGAAGCAGGCACTAATCATCTGACAGTAGTGATTGCTGGAGGGAGCAATGACTTGACAAGAAACAGCGCCAATACTTCATTTGAACCGAATAAAACGGTGATATTTTCTGAATCATACCAAACTCAAACTGGTACCGTGAACACAACAGTAACCGGGGTAGAAAAAAATATACTCACGGACGGGTTAGTGCAGGGTGGCAATAAGGTCTCTGAAGAAAACCAGCCCGGTTCTAACTCGGCAGTCCCTGTTGAAATAGAAAAAGGAGATGCAGCTGCAGGTGAATCTTCTAATCTAGAGGGTGGTGTACTAGAGAACACAACAAAATCTGTGGCATCAAATGAAACAGATAATAACACTGAAGTGAGTGAAACTAACAATACTCTGAATATTACTCATACGAATGAGAACACTGATTCTATTAAGGATGGAATCAAAGGTGATTCATCTGATTCTCACATCCTCAAGAGTGTCCCAGAGGACCGAACTGATCTGGATACGTTGCCAGATATTATAAAAGAAGGGGATATTGTTGACGCCATTGCAACAGACTAAAAGCATGATCTTTTTGTTCTCAAGAAGAGCTGAGAGATTAGAGTTTTTGTTTCGACCCATGTTAATATTTGAACACTTTTTCCTGTCAAAAAGATAAATGTCTAGGCAAGACCATCAAAGTTACAAAGGTAGGCTTGTGGATATTCATATCAAAGTTTGAATAT